TGCCACTGAAGGGTTAATTTAGCTGCAAAAGTTGTCTAGGCTGGAGGAAAGTATAGAACAAAGGAGCTGAAGACAGGGAAGTGTCTGGGCATTGGCAGCATCTAGTCTTTGTGAGCCCAGTGATTGTACTAGCATAAAAAAGGGCAATTTTGAGAAGAGGGTAGTCATAACGATTATTGATTAGCAGGGTATGACTTCTTATTTGAGGAAGGACATTCAGTATCTTGTGCGAAAATGAAGGTAGTGAGAGCAAACTCTAGGATCCAGGGTTTGTTTACACTGTGTCATAAACTAACTGAGGAGTGGACTGGGGAGACAAGTAAATTATGAATAATGAAACTCAAAATATGCTCTTAGCTTTTGGAAGTTGAAAGTGTATTCCACTCATTTTTCAGATGAAAATAAGTTGTTCCTATGAATTAATAATACATGGTTAAGCAGTCAGCTTTCATAGCATTCTATAGTATTATATATCCTGTAGTACATACATTGATACTAAAAGGTATATCTTTTCAGTAATCTTTGTAAATTATAGTGAAGCATTAACTGAGGTTAGATTAATTGTTGGACAATATGTTAGTATGGCTAGATATTAATGTTTCAGTGATAATGTTTTGAATTAATGTTGATCTGATGCTCCATGACACTATACGGTTTCTTTTGTTTTAATGTATCAGTTGCGGCAAGTTCTGGAACACTTATCTCAGCAGAGCGAAAGCCAGTATCTTAAAATCCTAACGAGTCTTGCTGAAGTTGCTACAACAAATGGTCACAAACTGCTTAGGTAAGTGTGAGAGGATCATAAGTAGGTTTATAAGCTACCTGGTAGTTAGTGCTACTTAAGAGTTTTAATAATCTAAACTATCTGATGCTGGGCATGTGCTGGAGTAGATGAATCTCAAATCTGCTTCTGCATGACAGCACCCGTTTAGATCACTGTATTCATGAGGACTTCAGGAGAGAGAGTTAGTGTCCTTGTATGTCTGTTGATGCCTAGAAGCTTGAGTTGCGGAGAAGTGTATTTTTTGCTTGATTAGTTTGGCTATGTCAGCTCTAGGAAGGGAAGCTTTTTAGCCAACTGTCAATCATCCTGTTTTTCCCTCTCTCCTTTTTTTTCTTCTCTTCTACATCTTTGCTTTTTGCAGGCTTTCTTTGTATGTTTGAGGAGAGTTTTGTTACTTCAGACCCTTGTCTTATGTTTGCTGGCTCTGATTTCCTTCCATAGCTACTAATATTTCATCTACCAGTGTGGTGTCTCAGGAGCACAAGGAGCATTACTTGGGGAAACACATAAAATAGGCAAGCATATTTTCCCAGTGCACTTTCCTAGTTTTTGTGGCATTTGTTTGAGGGAGTTTGTGCAAAACACTTCATCTGGAATCTGTTGGAACACCGCTAACATTTTACTGTTTTCAATAGCTAGCAGGATTTGCTCTGACCTTTGTGCTTTACTAGAAGCTAAAAAATTTTTTCTGAAAGAGGTCAAGAGACTGAGAGCGTGAGTGGAAGGTCCTTACTAACAGGTTCTGTCTGGCTTTTTAGGAAAGAGAGATTTAAGAGTGTTCCATAACTGGAGAGGCCTGTCAGCATAGGTTGTAAAGGGAAAAACTGTGAATGCTTTTTTTCAACTGGGGCCAGGGCATAAGGAGCCCGTCAGTTAGATGGATACTAAATAATATATTCTTAGTTTTATGTTCTTTTATTTTTTCCTTTCCCATAGTCATGTTAAATTTGTATGGAGCTTGTAGGTAGCAGGTCAGAACTCCTAGACAATGCTAGGAAATTCATGACTCCATTCATCACAGTCTTGTTCTGATGAGTGTTCGCCTCGATGAATGAGCATAAAAGACTTAAATCTCTCAAATGTTTGGGGTTAAAGTGCATAGACATATTAGTGACATTTTGTTTCTGCAAAGATAACTTTTTGAAGAACTCTAGCTGTTGTTGGGATTCAGTGTGTAATCAGCTTAACCTGTAACACATTCCTTTTGTCTCCAGACTTCATTAAAGCCAGTAGATCTCTCATAAATAAACTGTGATAAAGTGCAAAACCATTCTGCAGGAAGGGGTTTCAAACTTGCTTTCTATTGGGACATTGTCAGAAGTTGTGGTAGGTGGTTTAGATCATATGAAGCAGTATTTATTTTTATTGCAGTATCTTCAGAGATAAATTAAACTGCTTGTGTGTTTAGATTTGATTTATTATTATTATTATTGCTCCCTGTATGGAGCAATGTTCTCTCAGCATGGCTATAGGAACAGTATCTATGTGTCTGTAGTGTCTAAATTTGAGCCGGTCAAGCTGGAAGCTTTGCATTGTGTTGGATGGACAGGCATGTCCAGTGATGCATGTACTTAGTGTCCTGTGGACTCTTACTGACTCACTTCTCTTTGGTGCTTTGTAGTTTGTAATATGTCATAGGGGAAATGGAATTATTTTTTTCTTTTTCTATTACAAGAAACAATCTTTGTTCTGTCTATTTCTGTTCCCTATCAGAAGCTTCAGTCTCTATTTCAATTAAGTATTTCTCAGTTGCTTTTTATTAAAATAATGAGGACAAAGGTAGTACTTGATGACTACAGACCTCTGAGCTTGGGCCTCTTTCTGCTGTCTCCTCCTTCCATCAAATTGTATGTAAAATGCACTCCATACATTAAAACCTCTGATAATGATACTGTTGCATGGCTGAACTAGTATAGTTAGTTTCCTGGGTGCTATCCCACAGCCCATTGCTGTTGAGTTTGTTGGTTGTTTAGTTCAAAAATGTCTTAAGTTGTCTTTTGTAATGCTTCTAGCAGGTAGCCAGGAGCGCCACCGAGTTTCTGCCCGAGGACTTCGGCCTTGGATACCAGCAAGGAACCTGTTCAGTTAGCATTACCTCAATCATTTCTTCTTCCCAAGAAATAATTGTAGTACGACATGATTTGGTCTTGCTGGTGCAGATTGGGCCTCGCTGAATGTTTATTAATATGGTAGTAAAAGCTTCAGTAAACTATTAAAACCACTTAAAAATTTTCATGTTTATGTAAGTCCTCTTCTTGGAGACCAGGAATTTTAAGCAGAAATTTCACGAGGCAAATGCTGCTGCTGAAGGATGATAAACCTCAGTTGAAATGTTTTTTTTCCGATATTTAAGTTAGCTTCTTGAGTTAGCTCCTTGTATTCGTAGATTTCCTTTGGCATACAAGCATTTTTCCAAATGCTAATCTGTGGCTGTGATCAGAGCTGCTAGTGATACAATTACGGCCCACAAGTCAGGGGTTTTTCATTAACTGGTTGAAAACTTAACATTCCTACTCTTATACTGTTTCCTCTTCGTATTCTTTCTTAATCTAGATTTACTGAAAACTTATCTGTCTGAAGTCTAAATTGTGACAAGACAGTCATACTTTGTGTATCAGTTTGGTAGAATTCTTAGCGTGTGGCTTTTTGAAGTTAACACCTCACTGTCAGTCATTAAAATGGGGTACTGTAAACAGAGTCTTGGTTTTACCCATGCTGTAGGGAGAGTGGGGTCATGATAAAAGTACTGTGATGTTACAACTAACTGTTTGAGATTTGTGAATTAATGGAGTAGGAATTGCATCAGAGGTTTTACAGCATCCTCTAAAGTGTCAGTTTTGTGGTCTTATAGTTAAAAAGTATGCTTTTAAGTTGCAAGTACTTCAAGGATAGAATTGAATATGTAATCTCTTGTATAATATTTATCAATGAGTATAGTTCAGTAGAAAAAGTTTCAATTTGTTGCAGGTTTTTTTAGGTGTTGAAAATAGAAGACTTCTTACTGCTTGGGGTTTAAGGAAAGAAAACTAAGTTGAATTTGATGGAGAACGTTCTGCTTGTGCATGATCTCCATGAATATCTCAGATTCTGCACTGTATTGGTACAGTTAAGTGTTGGGCAGTTCAGTTAAGAAGGCGTAAAAATTTTAGTGTATTTGTTGAGTAAATAAAAAGCATACTGGTGCATTTATATAGTAGCTTTTAAATCATGTTTATCTTGAGTAGAAATTGTGTTACTTTACCATCCTGATCTCTTGTCTAATTGAGGTAGTTAATGGATATTTAGGCTAGTAGCTAGATGCGGATGGGATGTGGTAGTCTGTCTGATTAGTCAGTACACTTTTGTCATTGGATGCTGTATTTTCTGGATTGAAAAACGTTTTCAATTGGATATCCCAATTTGTTTCATATATTGAGATCCTTACTTCATAAACTGAGATCCTTACTGTAGGAAGTTGAATTTCTTACCAGTGATTCATAAGAAGTGTACCTGTGTGTAAAAACAAATTAAGTATTTTGCAAGATCTGGAATTTGCTGTTCTTATTTCACTTCTGGTTAAAATTTTGAGTATTTACCAGTGGTTCATAAGAAGTGTACCTGTGTGTAAAAAAAAAATTAAGTATTTTGCAAGATCTGGAATTTGCTGTTCTTATTTCACTTCTGGTTAAAATTTTGAGTATATGTTATTAAAATTATAGTGCTTATGTTTGATGTTTGGGACTGGTGCAGGAAAGAAAAGTTAAAATTCATTAGAGTTTAAAGATTAGGGGTTTTTTTCAGCATGTGTGTCAGACCCTACCATTAGATTGCTTACTTCTTAATATACTGAATTGTTTAATGTAGGAAAAGAAACTTAAATATTCCATTTTTTTCCCCCAGCTTGTCAAGTAATTATGAAGCTCAAATGAAGAGTCTCTTAAGGATCGTGAGGATATTTTGCCATGTCTTTCGCATTGGCCCATCCTCTCCCAGTAATGGAAATGACATGGGCTACAATGGAAATAAAACTCCAAGAAGTCAGGTGTTCAAGGTCAGAAAAGTATATGATGTTGTTAGGAAGATAGACGTTAAAGAGATGAATTTCACAAAGCATGCATTCATTAATCAGACATCTCATGAACAGGAAGTAAGTTTGGTTGATGTCCCTATCCCTTCTTAAGTTAAGCCTGCCTCTTTCTTTCCTTGATTTTTTTTTTCTCCACTGGATTCATTTGACCACTGATGCACATCTCATCTTATGATTTCTGTTTATTTCTTGTTTAATGTGTTATTAGATGTTGAAGGCTTAGTTACCCAGCTGATTTTGGTAAACTTTGCTTTTCTTTCTATTATTTTATTTAAGAGTGTAGTAATCTCAAAATGTGGTAATAATAAGATAATAGATTGTATTAATGTAATTTCAAAATGGTATTTGGAGAATCATTGGGAATTCAGATTTTTCAATTTTTATCCAGCTTCACAAGATAAATGGAAATAATTGAGTTCTTAATCTGTTCATTGTTTTCACTGTGATCGCGAAGTTTTTTCCCAAGTTGTTCTTGAATTTTGTTATGACATGTTTTGAACCATGCCAGTTTACTACCACTCTTGTAAGGTTTTTGATTTACAGCTGTTTTCAAACACCTGCTTCAGGTACTTGCCATTTAGGTGTTTAATTCTTGAAGGGTTTTTTTTTATGCTTGTTGTTTGAGAAATCCCTCTGTAGAAAACCATAGCTTGCCTTCCTGTGCCACTCAATTTAAACTGGATATATAACTGACATAGTATTCAGAGCATCTAAATAATAACTGAGGATAGTCTCTTTTTTTCCCTTGTCTCCTTCCATCCTCTCATATGGCACAGTTCATATCACCAAATTTATATGCCAATAATTGCATGAGAATTTTCCTTAACCTTTGCATTTCTTTCAGGGTGTTCTGAAAATGATATTTTGAAATTACTACATTTTTTTGATGATATGATGTGTTCATCAGGTTACTTCTAATGACTTTTTAGGCAGAGCTATATTGATAAGATCGCAAAAGATGATAGTCTAATTCCAGCTCTATTTACTTAAGTTTTTGTTTAAATTTCTTCTCTGGGAAAGAGGGAAAGCATTAGACTATTTAAAAACAAGCACAAATGTTGTTTTTTCTGGTAGCAAAATAGTTTTAATAACAAATTGATTTATATAATTAATATAAAACTAGTGCTTGATATGAAAAATACTGTGTGCAAAACATAATGCATTGTATAGTATGCAACGTAATGATTGTCTTTTAGAGTTGTTCACTAAAATATGTTGAGCTAGATTGGCACATTGTGAGTTTAACTAGATTTCCATTTTCAAAAAACAAAGCCCTACCCAAATCACAGAATCATTTTATTGAAGGCAGATTTTTCTAACAGTTTTAATGAAAATTGGCTTAAGTATACCAAACAAAGCATATAGATGTTAAGCGTGTTTAATACAGGAACTATCTGCAGTGAGATAATCTGTTACCTTTCTGTGTAGATATTATGCTACCTTTTTTCTTCAAGGTTTGAGGAGTAGCTGACCTTACCTCCTCGCATTTTGGGTCTGCTCATAGCCCAAAAAGGGGAAAAAAAAAAAGTTTCATGCTTTTTGCTTCCAGATCATTTCAGAACTTACTATGAAACAAACAAAACCATTCAATTGCAGTTTGCGAAGGAAATTGTATTTCAGCAGAATCACTTATCTGTATGCCAAAACTACTTTGTATGCTGAAAGAATTGCTTCTCAATTTAGTCTGGAGTTAAGTGTTTTGCAGTAGACTGATTTACACAACTGGCATGGTTGTCCCAGAAAATATCAGTAATTCTTAATTGCACAAAAACAACATCTATGTTTTTTAATAAATGAGCAAAATACATACTACTGTTGCATTGGCTAGAAAAAATTGCAAGATGATTTTAAAATTATCCTTGCTGTTATTTTATTGTTAAAACTGAGGCAGCCCTTCATTGGGGCCTCTGTTGTATTTGTGTTATTTTAGGTTGATTTAAATTTCAAACTCAGAAATGCAAAACTGCTGATGAGAACTTGTTCTCATTTGGGAATGAGGCACACTGGTCTATCAACACTAAGTTGATCTTCAGTTGTGGTTGGGTTAGCCTGTTCTTTGAATTTACAGTAACTGGGTAGTGGGAGATGAGACATAGTGCTGAGACAATTGAGTGACTTCACATTTGCTCTCATTCCTATCTTCCATTTCCTTTTTCTTTTTTGTCCTTTCCTTGAAAACATGGTTGTGATGATGCCTTTTGCCTTTTGGGAGAAGGGAAAAAAGCCCACTGTATCTCTAGATTATTCATTGAAGCCCTTGGCAGTTGTTTGTCTTCATTGGTCCCAGTTCTTGCATGTGGAACTTTTTGGTACAGACTATTAAGGAAACCACAGAGATGTGTGGACATCTGTGTTTAATATATGGTTTGTGTTAAGAATCGACCGAAGAATGCTGACTTGTACTTTTGAAAAAATGTTGCTAATGGTTTGATTGAATATGTCCATATTACTCTTGAAAAGGTCTGATCATGGATGTTACCATAAAATGTTGATAGCCATGGATATGGAGGTGGTGGGCAATATTTAGAGGAGTGCTTTATGTCCTGAAGTTAGACTAGAAAAAAAAGAGAAATGTTGAAGTTGCCATACTTGACTGCACTTTTGAATGAATTTGTGATCAGAATCTGTGAAAAACTAGCTTTGGAAAAACAAATCAGTTGCAAGAATTCTGAAAGGCATGCTAAGTCTGTGGGAAATAAAAGATACAACACAAGATGTCAGTGGAAAAATTATGTCTGGCAAGCTAAGCATTGAAAAGTTTGTGAGAAGAAAACTGAGTTTTGGTATTGGAGTAAATAACTACCTAGTTTCTTGTGAGTTACATGTTTAAGAGCACAGCTGCATTTTAATTCTGCCATATATTCCATGAATCCTATTTTCCATTAGAAAGTTTTTCTGCATTCTGTTTTGTGGGCAAGGTCTGCCAGGTAGGTCTTAGAAAGAAGCTAACTTGATCCTGTATGGCAGATGTTTGTGTAGAAAATGGTACCTGCACTGGAGGTATTCAGATCACCATCTAGAGAAATGTGTGATCCCTGGCAGTATAAGGATTAAGTGAGTGTCATGCAGTATGTTGGGCAAAGCCTACCAGTTTTATGTGCATGAGTCTGAATCTCAGTGCTGGTATCTGGCGTTGGCTCCATCTGCCTGGTATTGGGAGCTGCTTTGACCAGGGCCTTAAAAACAGACATGCTCTTATTCTGGACATTCAACATGTGTATGATTGTCTCTTTGGTTGGCTGCAGCAGGCAGACAACAATGTGCTGTGAGGCCAAATTCTGTTAAATAGTTCAGTGTTTCACTCTTTCTAAATTATTTTATCTTTATTCTGTTTGGTGCTTAATTATTTTCCTTCTATGTGACATTTTCTCTTTGTGCTTTGTGGCTACTACAAGTACAGAATTTTTTATGAGTGTTTGACCCTTATCTCTAATAGGACTTCTAAAGGATCATTTAAAGCTTTTAAATGTGCATGGTATTTATTTGCCTTAAGAGGATTATCACATCATTAATATTACCTAATGTCAACATGTTCCTTTTTTGTCTGTTTTTGCATATGTTTATTGCAGCCGCTGGAACTGCTCTGGCATTCGCTAGATGAGTGGCTCGTTCTTATAGCCACAGAGCTGATGAAAAACAAAAGGGACTCTGCCAACATTACTTCTATTTTACTGAAGCAAAAAGGACCAGATCACCAGGATGCTGCTCCTATGCCTTCCTTTGCCACTGCAGGAACCGAGGGCAGAAAAGAGCTATCCACTGATGCTGGCGATGCTGCTGAGAAGCAGGAAGCTTGTGCTGATTGCCAGGATGTTATCTCCATGACAGCAAACAGGCTAAGTGCTGTCATTCAAGCATTTTATATGTGCTGTTCCTGTCAGATGCCTCAGGGGTAAGGAGGGGATCCTGTTTGTTACCTGAACTGTTACTGGTTTAAAATCATACATACTTTCTTGGAAGAATGTTGATGCTGACCAGATGATATTAGTGACAGTCAAGGGTATGCTTCTTAATGTTTTCACTAGTTCAGTTATTGGAATGCTTTTTTTTTTCTTCTGGCTTTAATGGCACCAAACAGCAAAGTTTCCATAGCTGCCCATAAATGGAGCTGCGTTGGGGCGGATTTCATATTGAATGTCTGTCTAATGGCTCTTTGTAATCATGTGAGATACTTGCAGGTAATGTAATTTTGATCTCTTGAAATGTAGCTGTTCTTGTTGGTTCTTAATGTAAAATTATCCCTAAATTTAATGTGGTTATCCAACAAAAGCTATAAGCTCAGAAAAAAATGTGAATTATCTCTGTGTATGAAAATGATAGCTGGGGCAAAGCTTGTTTGGCTACATTGCAGAAGTTTATGACAAGTAGAGTTCAATCCCAAGGTGAAGCTCACTTAGAATCCTGTCCCAGGTTTGCAAACATAGTTTTGTGTGGAACAGGCACTACCACTTAGGTAAATTTAATATCAGTTTCTGGTTCAAAAAGAAAAAAAAGTGTATCCACTGTAACTGAGGTCTTAGTCTGTCCAAGGTTGTCTAAGATATGGATTGTATGTGTGAACTGGTAAGGAAAGGATCCTTTGACTCTCTTGAGTGGAGGATTAGGCAAGTATGGTGGTATTACAGACTCCCTGAGGAATCTGGAAGCAAGGTTCCCACTACATGACAGCTCTTGTTTATTCCCAGCCACTGTAAGGATTTTTTTCTTTGCCAAACCTAGTGGAATAAATGGTACAATGGTGTAACTCAGTACTGCTAACATCTTCAAATAACATTTGAAATTATAGCAAATGACACTTTTTGGACAAAATAATTTAAAATGGCTCTAATTTTAGATTTGAGTGTCTTTATGTTTAATGGAGGAGAGTAAACAGAGCTCATAGTTTTCCATTGTTCCTGATATTCTTACAATAAAGATGGCATTTCATGCTTAAATGGGAAATTAGCTGCTTAACATTTGAAATACTGATGTTATTTTCCTTTGCTTGCCATGATTGCTTTTCTTCTGCAAATGCAGATATTGAATCTAGGCATGCTTTGTTAATATACTGAAATACAATGTTCCAAGTTTATGCTAAGCTTTTTTTTCCTCTTTTCTGTATATTGCATCTTACAGCTTGTGTGGCAATTTACAGGCAGAGAGAGTTCATTGCCTTTCAGGGAGGACTGTTTTTTAGTTGTTTAATATTTTCAGATCATCTGTCAGACCAGAAGTCTGTTTAAAATGTTCATATTTGGCCTCTGGAAGATTTTTACTTGCTTGTTTGTTTTTTGTGTGAATGAGGGGAAGGATGTGGTGAGGCTTGTTTCTTCAAAATAAAGTAAAGGAGAGAAGGAAAACAGCTCACTTTTATATAAAATGAGCAGCTAAATTGGTGTGGGGAACAGCAGCAGTTCTGGGATTGTTATCCTGGACTTCTAAAGTGCTATTTTTCACAGCCTTTCAAGGCATTTGATGATGAGAGGGTTTTATTCTTGTTTGCAAGTATTCATTAGCTTTTGCTGAAGCTAAAGGATCCAATTAAGAATTTATCTTAAAAAAAAATACAGAATAGAAATGTAAGTAAATGGAGTAAAATTTGTACCCATGTTAATCCTTCCCTTGTTCTCCAGATATATGCAGGAGAAAAAATAAAATTCCTTACTAGTGTATGAGATGCTTGCCTGGCAAGTAGTTTTGTTATTTCATGAAGACATTAAATATCTCCTTTCCCCCCATTATTCAACAGAAAAATGTTTATCTCCATTGGTTTGAGCTTTTTTTGTGCATATAGTTAATAACAATTAGTGGACACGTTGCCTGACCTTCTTGATTACTGGCACGTTTGCCTTTTCTGTTAGTTTATTATGAAATCTTAATGCTGCTAAGTATTTTGTTTCACGATTGACTAGTTGAACAACATCAGTTTCTATTTGCGTAGTATTTGATTTAAAAATGCAACTATTTATGTAATTCAAATTATTTTCAACTTCATTAACCAAAAACATCTTCTGATTTTCTTTGAATAGGATGACATCGCCTCGTTTTATAGAATTTGTCTGTAAGCATGATGATGTCCTTAAGTGTTTTGTTAACCGGTAAGCTTCAAGAAATATGGAGTTTCTAATTTATTTGTTCCCCCCCTCCCCCATAGTTCAAAGTCCCATTTTTTTTTCTTACTGAGTTGTATTTTTAGGTTATTGTTGTGACACATGTACCATATGCACTTTAATGGTCCAGCTAAATTCAAGGGAGTGTATAAAAATGATTCGAGCTTAGGCTTAAATGAACTCTTTTGCATATGTAAGCAATCCTTTTGTATGATTCTGTGAGATTTTATAAACAAAATCTTTTTTGCAGAACAGCAGAATAATTTCCTTACGAGACTATTTCCTCATCTTTGTTACAAATAAAGCCTTCCCTTTTGATGCAGATGAAAACTTTCCTTCTTCCTCAGATGTGTTATACTTAATAACTTCTTAAAGGAGTCTAAACTATCTTTGTAGACTTGGCTGTTTCCAGAGTTTCTCTGGGGCTGACCTCTTTATAATCTTGTTTCTGTCTGGACATCTGCTTGTAATTCTCCATGTTCAAAGAACGAGGTAGTAAAAGACATTTGGAACCAAGAGTTAGGAAAACATAACGAAATAGTCTGTTGGAACTTTTCTGTATGACTAATTGCATTGTCTCTTTATGTAGACTTTGTGTATAATGAAGGATTATTATTGGATCTCTGACTAACAGGCTTCTAACCTGTTTTTCTTTCAGAAATCCCAAAATAATTTTTGACCACTTTCATTTTCTTCTGGAGTGTCCTGAACTAATGTCCAGATTTATGCACATCATAAAAGCTCAGGTAAATGTCAGGAGATGCTTACTTATAACTTCTTTGAATAGAGAGAGGGTATTTTGTTTAAAAATAGTAATATTTTTTAAAAATTCTTTTGAGGAGGATGGAAGAACGAAGTGTGGCCTCCAGTGTTTCTGAATCTGGGAGGCTGAAAGGTCAGATTAAACAGACATGGCAGCCAGATTTCTGTACTTCTGATTCTTTAAAATGCATTTGTAAGTCCATTTGAGGTGACCAATGTTAAATTTGTCTTGCAAGTCCAGCTTTTGGTTAAACAGAGTTAACTTTCTATTATTAAATCTATTTGTGTACATCTAATAGATTGAGCTTTAAAATGCTATGCTTTTTCCTTAATTGATTTACATTTTGAGGCAAACTAGAGGATAAGTACACCACTATTGACTGATTTGGCCGTAATTAGCGGCAGCTCCTTCAGTGAAACATGCTCTGTTACCTACTATTTCCTTTTGTTTGTTTAGGGTTATTTTTCAGTAAAATCCTGATGTCTTGCATAACATGAACTCAATTCTCAGTTTAACGCAGGAGATGAATTCAAGACTGAAGAGGTACTCTAGGAAAGACTAGTGTAGTTCAGTGGAAAAATTAGCAAGAAACCCCGTGTGGAAGTCTGCTGCTTTACGTAACACTGTAGTGCTAAGCGTCTGCCACGTTTTTGTCTCTTACCTTTAAAAGATTGTGAGTGTCTACGTGTAGCTCAGAGACAGAGCTATGTATTTGTTCTATTAGAAATGGAGATTATCTTTGGGCAATAATGACATATTTGAAACTCCTTTGTTCAGCACACACTGGTATACTTTTGCTTTGTTCTCTATTAGAAAGTTTCCTTACATCCAAATATTTTGGTCAAAGATGGAATTTGCTGAAAACAAAGGTAAAATTCCTCTAACCAGCCAGAACCCCCTCTTCCCCTGAATAATTGTGGATTATCTGTTTCAAAAGCTTTATTTCTTTAGTTGTGAACAGTACTGTGCCTTTATTCTTAGATGTACATTGGTTTTGGTAATCCAGTTTTGTTTTTAGGCGATGGTGTAGGTGTATTGTTTACTCATTCTTTGGCTGAAGTGTGTGTGTTTTTGAAATTCGTTGCCTATGAGTAATGAAGAGAACCGGAGAACTGATACCCTGTTTGTTAGATCAACTGAAAGTACGTACTGGGAATTGTGATAGATGAGAAGGGGCCATACTTGTGTCGTGTCTGTCTCAGAAGAACTGCAAACTGACAGTCTAAATACTGAGTCAAACAAGCTAGGACCTTCTTGCCTAGGAATTTTTTTCGAAGGTTTCCGGTTCCTTTGGGCTGTTTTTTACTGACAATGAACTTGAATACAGGTACGACTTGTTATGTCACTTGTGCTTCTGTGCTCAGCTGTGGTTGATACTCAGCAGTGTTACAGAAGCCAGTGAGTGACTTTTTATCTAGATTCCTTGCCCCCCTGCCATGGAAGAAGTTTTGTGCTGTTTTTCTCCTGTGTGGTGAACTCTGATAGCTATTTCTAGATAACTGGTGGTTCAGTCTTTCTTCATACCAGACTTCAGTAAGCACTCAAGGGCATGTCTAGTCCTTTCCTCCTCTGCATAACACCGAGTAACTCTCTGCACATCTCAAAAATGAATTGAGAAGTATGCATAACCACCTTCCAGTCATGCTTATGAGAGGGGAATTATTCGGTTGAATGCATCTGTATAATATGGTTTGTCCCTTGTTTTGTAGCCATTTAAAGATCGCTGTGAATGGTTCTATGAACATCTGCATGCTGGGCAGCCAGATTCAGACATGGTGCACAGGCCTGTCAATGAAAATGACATCCTTTTGGTTCACAGAGGTATTGTGTTAAAATGGAATTAGCATCTCTTTTGAAATACATTGAAATATAATGAATTAAGATAAAAAATTAATTGGTGTTTTGTATTTAGATTCTATTTTTAGGAGTAGCTGTGAAGTTGTGTCTAAAGCAAATTGTGCAAAACTAAAGCAGGGAATTGCTGTGAGATTTCATGGAGAAGAAGGCATGGTGGGTAAAATTGCGTGCTTTTCCTTTATGATGTTTATATGTGGAAATTTTAATTCTCTTTCACAAGTATTGTTTTGAACTACATCCTAACTTAAAATAACTTCTATACTTTTATACTGCACTGTTTGTGCAGTGAAAGTTCTATGTACTAATATGTTTTACTCTTTTAACATGCAGGGACAGGGTGTGGTGCGCGAGTGGTTTGATATCTTATCCAGCGAAATTGTTAACCCAGATTATGCCTTATTTACCCAGTCAGCTGATGGTATGTCTCTGCCTTTTTTTCTTCCTAACTTTAGGGTATCTTTTATAAAAGCATCTTTATAATCCAAGAAAAAAAATCAATTAATTGGTTTCAGAATATAAGATTGTTACTTTTTAAAAGCAACGCTGACGGAATTGATCTAATATATATAGAGAAATTATCTATTCATTGTACGTTTTTATAACCACAGAAGAAATATTTTTCTTAATTTGAAGTTTCCTTGATTTTGTTTTCTCTTTTGTAAGAGGAGGATAAGTTGTTGATTTTAGTGAGTCCATGCTACTTCTGCCTGGTAGCAGAAGAACATAACGCTTGGAGAGCTGTATAGAAAGTGTTTTCCTTTCTTCTGCATCTGCAAGGGAACTGTGGAGGTATTCCTTTATTTCCTTTCAGAAATACACAAATTCAGTCAGTTAATTTTTGTGGTAAAACCAGATGTTGATCTCCACAGGTCTACCTTGTATTTGGCTTTTTGTCCTTTGGATGCTTAATATAAAGCAAATGTTTATCAAGAAAAGATTTCACATCGTTATCAGTGATAAATGTTTTGGTTTCTACCTTAAAGTCTTGGGAAGTGGTAAGGGATTCAGTCAACAGTAGAGGCATAGATTCGTTCAGCAGAGGCATAGATTAGTTCCTGAAAGTTAAAGGAAAAGTTCATGTCTGTTTGAGGTGGTCTTTTCCAAGGAGACCAGGACTGGACTTTCTCCTGTCTGCCTCTGGGTGGAGCCAGATGAAAGGAAGCAGATGCATTCTGATCCTTCCTTTGAGCATGTTCACAGGTTGATAGAAGCATGGCCCATTAGAGTGAGCAAAAAATGCACATAGCATGAAAACGTCATAATCCTTTTGTTTCATAGGAACAACTTTCCAGCCCAACAGCAACTCTTCTGTAAATCCAGATCATTTGAACTACTTCCGTTTCGCAGGCCAGATCCTGGGGCTAGCTCTGAATCACAGGCAGTTGGTAAACATCTACTTCACAAGGTCATTCTACAAACATATTCTTGGTATGGTTTTATTAAAATCCTGTTTTTTAGTCGTAACAGTTGTCTAAGCAGTAAACCTTTTTCTTTTTTACTTGTGAGTGAGGGTGTGTGTGTGTGTGTGTTAAAAGTGGAAAAAGTCTTGGAAATGAATGTCTTGGTAATCTTTTATGTACATCAGAGTCACAACATAATATGGGAGTAATTGATATGCCAGTCTGAGTCTCTCTTAGGAACTGTTGCAAAATATGGAAATACATTAGCAAAACTATGTGGGAACTTTATACAGTTAGCAACTTTTATTAAAATAGCTAATCTTTTCGTTTATATTTGAATATGGATCTTAAATTAAAAACAAGGAAGGCATCGTTAATTTGTCTGAAGCGTAATCATATAATTTAGTTGTCTTTAGTGTTGCTGACTGGGAATTCCTGTAAGGCAGACTAGTGCAGCCAATTGGTTTTGTGGTGTATGCAATTCTTTCCATCACAGTTGTGAAATTCATCTGTTCTGCCGTGTAATGTAATTCTTGAGAAATAGAAATAATCATTCCCTGGGTAACTCAGGACAGAATTGCAAAATTGATAATGTTTGTTTAACTCTGTCAAAAATCTATGAAGCATTCTTCATTATGCCTGCAGTTCTTCAGTTGTGTGTTTTAAGGTGAATCTATACCAAGGATGCCCCATCCCTGAAGGTGTTCAAGGCCAGGCTGGATGAGGCTTTGAGCAACCTGGGCTAGTGGAGGGTGTCCCTGCCCATGGCAGGGGGGTTGGAACTAGACGATCTTTAAGGCCTCTTCCAATGCTAACCATTCTATGATTCTGTGATACTGTTGTGAACCTCCCTGTCCACCCACTCCAAAAACTACTACTTACTTCCTGAGACAGTGTTTCAGAACTAGTGCAGGTTCATTCTGTCATCTTCCTGAGGAAAGTTAATTCATACGCTTACTGTAGCATTCAAGAGGATTCGTCAAAAGTCTTTATAAAAATGTGACTTTTTGATAGAGAAGGAGCGCTGTTAGCTGGTGGTATGTATGGTCTAGGGGTCTTCTCTGTTCTTTGAGAACCTTTGTGTCTCTTGATTGTCAAATGTGATGTCCTTGTTCTGCGTTGTCATGAAGAAGTTTTCCTATTGCGTGAAGATGTGATGGAAGGGTGAATTCCCTGTGCATTCCTGTTACTCCTCTACATACATAAATTCCTTTACTGCTGCATGCAGAATTTCCTTTGTGTTTAAGCATTATTCTTTGATCTTCTTTGGAAATATAATGTAGCTTGATGTTGGAAGTTTTACTTTTCCTCAAGAACCGCTCCTTACTTTAAGATCTAGCAAGGTTTTCAAGGAATTGTTTACATCTCATTCTGTTTTTCTGTGATCATTCTATATACCTACAGCCTTCATTTGATGCTTGCTAAGTCCAGGAGAGATCAAGTCTTAACTTCAGGTTTCTTGTTTCTCCTCCCTGCAAGTGTTTAAGGAACACTGTTGCAGTTTGTTGGTGTTGCAGGCTCAGTCATCTTTGTCAAGATCATCTTAAAAAGAGATGCATTTTATTTCTCTCCTTCAGTACTGCTTTCTGCTGCACGAGAGTGGCTGTGTTCTGGGCAAGAGGCAATGGAGGACAGCCAATCTGAAGCAGCACCGTGTTGGCAATGCCTAACTGAGCTTCCCTAGTCTTTCATCTTCACATAGGAAAGCGATGTTAAAATTAGAGGTATCTTTGTGTGTCACAATTTGGCACTGACTTAAGGGTTGGCTTCTGAAATCAGGAGATTCCTCTGTGTGAGCAGAAGAATGACACTCACAAATGAGAAAAACTTATTTTTCACCTGTTCAGTGACACCTTGAGAATAGTGAAGTGTTGCTCATGTGACCTCTTTTTGAAGGTGACTACTAATGAATTTGGGTTCTTGTTTAGTTTGACTCATGATTATATGCTGGATTTGTTGGTTTCTGAATTGACAAGATGACCTATTGTTTACTTTTTTTTTCCAGTTTTGCTAGGTAACTATTGCAAACCAAACAGCAGCGACTAGTCTCTGTTAATAAGATCTTACCAGTCCCTCTTAGTAAGGTCTTGTCATTCTGTTGAACAGGCATCCTGGAGCTCTCTAGAGGTTTGTGCACATTCAACTTCTTTAAGTTCAAAAGGTTCACAGGTTTTTATCACTTCTTGTTACTTATCAGACACAGAGAACTGAAAAAATTACACCTCCACTTCCCAAAGTAGTTGCTTTTTCTGACTCAATCGTAGTGGTTTATTTAAATTTTTCCAAGGCCTTTTCCCTCAGCTTTGTGCATCTCTTCTTGCTTAAGGAACCCGAGTTGCACAGCAGCAGATGCTCCTGAGGGGTTTTTGTTTTATTTTTGTTTCAAATTCAGCTATGGGTTGTGCTAACTGTTGTTCATGCCAAGTACAAGTTACCAGGTTGTAGACATAGAGATGCCCTTGAGCTGCTTGTCAATATGTTATCAACTTTCTTCTCAGCACAAATCCAAAACAGCCTCTTACTAGCTACTACGAAGAAAGTTTAACTCTGTCCCAGACAAAACCAGGTCACAGGCCATAAGTAATGGAGTATGAAGTTTTTCGAAGCCTGAGACTTTCCATTCATTTAGTTTCTCACCTTGCACTGAGATCCTTGTTTCCTGTAGCCTTTGCTGTTGATGGCACTGAATCCACCAGTTGTGTGGTAAGACCTCCTGTGTCTGAGGAACAGTGTGAACCTCTTTCGAAGGAACTCTAGTCAACAAACATGATGTGGAAGTGCCTTAATTAGAAGCTGAAACTTGTATGAACAAATGTGTCTACTTTTCTGAGACTCGGGTGGGTGCATCACCTTTCTTCACTGTGCTGAACTGAGATCTTTTTACGACAATATCCAATAGGCAAGGAAAGATCATCAACTTAACTGATGACCCAGCTAGCACTCAATTAACGTACTTTATAAGATGTTAGATATGTAGCTTGCGTGATTTTTGTGTGTGTATGCTGCTGTGAGATCAAACATTATTGCATAGGTCTTCATGTTTATTAGGGCTGCACTTTATTATGGATGTAGAACTGAGGCAGAAATATAGTCAGAAGTTAATGAGGCCTTCAGATTTTCTCAACTTCCTATCTGCCTGCCTTCTGCTTAAACAGGGGAGGAGAAGATAGTTTCACTAGTGCTGTTGTCCAGTTACTTTGTATTTTTTTCTAAGGAGGCAATTGCTTTTCTGTTTGGAAAAGGAAATTTCAACCTCCAACCCACAAAGACACATAGCAGATAAATTCCTAACTGTGCTGTCTGCTGGTAGACTTAAGTCCCCTCTTTCACAGTATAATGGAAAATGCTCCTTAAAATGGCATAAACAAAAGTGAAAATTAATTTCTGGGTCAGTGTTTTTTGAGCTGGAGGCCTTAAATCTTTGAATACTTACTGAACTTGTATCAAACCTTACCTGTACTGTGTTGCACAGAAATACCTGTTTATCACAACCATTCTAAGATAGAATTCTCTTCCTTTTCAAACTACAGGTGCCTTAAGGGTATAGCAAGAGAAAGATACACAGTATTTAATGGGATTCAAATTTTGTCCTGATAAATCTGACAGTTTCTTTATAACTGCCTGGCTTGAGTCTGCTGATAGGTAAAATATCTGTCAAGCAAAGAGTGAGCTTAGTGCTTTGGTCTAGCAACATGCTGACTACAAGTGTAGTCTATCATGACGCTCCAGTTCAGTTTATTCTCCAAAGGTGTCTCCGGTTTCTACTTTTCAGTCGCCTTCTTTTCCCACATGTTTTGCTTATATCCCTCAGAGACATCATTACTTCTACATTTCATATGTGAAATGCACATATGGTTACTAGTTGACAAAAGTGAAAGTCCTCTAGAAAATACTAGATAGGGGATGGATTTTTTTTTTTTGAGAGAGAGAGAGTTGACAGAGAAAATGCATTGGTAGATTATTTATCCCTCTCTTAAACTGGAGCGTTGCTTGATTTTATTAGAAAAATAATGCCTTGCAGCTTGTGCACACACCCATTTTGGCACTAGTCAGCTCTTCCAGGGAAATACTGTAGCTGGTTTTGTACTTACATGTTTGCACTGACTGGTAACCTTTGAATTTTGTGTTACTCTCTGGGGTATGGCTTCTGCAGTCCATAGCGTGCTCAGACTTCTACTAATGGGCACCCTGGTGACGCTTCACAATGCACGGAAGATGGTGAAGCAGAGTGTACTTCCTGATAGCTTGCTTTTCTCTAAACCTACTACCACCCTCACCCCCTGTCCCTTTCCACAGGTATTCATCTGTCTTGGTAAAGTATCTATCATGACAGAGTTAAAGTAATTGGGGCTTGCTCTCTTGTGTAGTGAAGAGGGTAGTTCTCTTGCTCAGATTTGAGTGCCATGTCTGAGAAGGGGCTGTAAATAGGCGGTCTCTGTACTTGGATAAAAGTCAGACTTCTAGCAACTCTCCTCTTAATACTTCTAAATGACTTGCAAGTTCTGTTTGAAAATGTAAAATTCGTGTAAATAATTATTTATAGGTCTCATAGCAAACATGATTAAAAAGAAGAAAATTGAAGATTGAAAGCATTTTCTAGATACAGAAAGGTTGTGTTGTGTGTGTTTCTGTGTACCCACCCTCTCCCCCCCAAGTTCTAAATAATTTTCTGGGGAAAATATATTATTTTATAGAGAAATAGAATATTGAGCTTCTAAAAACTATTTAGAAAACAAGATTTTTTTTTTTAGAAAACACTTAACATTGTGTGTTCTGTACAGTTAGATGCTTTTACTGCAATCCATTAGTGGGCTAAAATTGTGTGAATTGTTGCTCAAGTGATACGCCATTTGCTTCACTGGGAAGAAAAACATACAGAGGAAACTTGATTCTTTAATACTTTTAAAATGTAGTACATACAGTTCTGCTGTACTAGTAGTGGTGAATCCCTTTTTCGCTTTTCTTATTACTGCATTATTCTGGTTTCTCTCTAGAGGGCAATCTTCTACCATATATTGTTAGAACCCTTTTTGCTTTATCCAATTTTTTTGAGGGATTTTGTCTTTTTGTTTTTTTCTAGGTATACCTGTAAATTATCAGGATGTGGCATCTATTGATCCAGAGTATGCAAAGAACTTGCAGTGGATTTTAGATAATGATATCAGTGATCTGGGTTTAGAGCTGACTTTCTCTGTTGAGACTGATGTGTTTGGAGCAATGGAAGAAGTGCCATTGAAGCCAGGGGGTGCAAGTATACTTGTTACACAGGAGAACAAGGTGAGTATACAGGTTCATTCAGAAGTTGATAGTACAAGAAAAGCAATTGGACTGACTTTTTTAATAACTGGAAGCATAAATGGTATACCTGTTTTGAAGGAAATGCACAAAATACAAAAGCTGCCAACACTCTTCCCGCTTTTTCTAGCTTAGCATGTTACAGAAATAGTACTGTTTAAGAGCTCTATAACTGTTCAGGTTTGAAGTTCTTCTTTCTGACAGAACTTTTGGAAGGAAAATATGATCAACTTTAAGTGAAGGGTTTATTCTGAAAGTTACTTGCTAAAGTTAAGTCATGAATGCTAAAAGTAAAACTGTAGGTAATGTTGCAAAGTGTGCTGCCTGCTAGGGCTGTCTGTGGCACTGGATTGTTCTACAGTAAGATGTGGATAACTGATGGAGTAAAAGGCTGCAGGAAGGTTTTTCATCCATTTGCAAGTCACCCAGTCTGTATGGAAATAATCTACCTTTTCAATTTACTTTAATAGTAACGGTTTGTAAAGTCCCTGGGTTCTCTCCAGCATTAGTTCAAAAACTAATATGGAAAAATGCAGCCAGATTTTGAAAATTATCTAGAAGTTAGGATGGACATCAGTCTAACTGAATTCTGCAGTTGCCCATTGGATAGTCTTGAGTAGTGGCAGGAGTGTCATGGGCAGACCTGCAATTTTTTTGTAGCATTGACTCCTTATGTCTGCTTTGTGTTTTGGTTTTCATTTGTGTTAAGCTAACCTAACTCTCTGTGTACACAGTATTCATTCAGTGCTACCAGTCAGCAGCTGCTGTATTGGCAAATAGCCACTTGGTGTCAGCATTTGTTTTAACAAAATTTTAGTTTGTGTTGGAGCAATTGTCACTGGATTCTTGTATGCTTAATCCTCATTTTCACTAAGGCAGAAAGTCATTCTGATAACAGGAATACATATTATTAGCCTGATTCTGCACTGTTTCCTGCAATGTAGTCATTCATGAAAGAATACAGATGGTAAAAAAAGTCTAACTGTGAAGGCAGTGGATGATTAATTTCCTTATTACCTATTAAGGAAAGCAAGAATGTTGATTCTTGTCTCTGGGCAGCCTGAGCTTCTCAATATATAAAATAGATGTACTGGGCATAAATTGTGGTTTCATAACAGCTATTTAAAAACTGTTATCAGTTATCATGAAATTAGGAATTTGCCCACATGAAGATACCCTCAGTCCTTAGTAGCTTACATTGTTCTGTTGACTTGGAGCACAGACTGAAAAGGGTGGTTGAACATGTGTAGAACAGATGCATCCATTCTAGCTCATCAGCCTTCCTCAGCTGTAGCAGGAGGGGACAGGAGTTTGTGTAGCTTTGATTTGAAAGGTGGTAAGAAACAGATGACTGTTTGGGGTAGCTTTGAAACTGTCAATATTAAATGATTCTTGAATTTGAAGCTGCAAAATGTGAAGTCAGCAAACATCTGTAAGATAGCACTGTCTTGTTCACTGATTTTCCCAGTGGCAAACCAAGTTGTTGAAAATTGTAGATCTGTGTTTTAGTGGTGTTTATGGATTTTTCGCAATTTCTTTACTGTGACATGGTTTTGCAGTATGTTTTAGTTTAGCAGTTCTACCAGGTTAAACAGGGAAGTGTCTACTTTACTTAATAAAACATCTTTTTTTCCTGCAAGAGATATCTTTCTTTTTTTCTGCCTTTATCTGAGGAATAAAAGATCACTTTAAAACTCATTGTATTTTGCTATACCTCTGGAAGAAGAAAATTCAGCTTCTAAAGGAATTTGCTGTGTTTGCACACTAGCAGATTACCTGCTTAAAGGATAGCATTTTTTAAAAAATGAAATTATGGCTGAATCTCTATTCCTTAAAAAAAGCCAAACAAACTGTCAAACCCACAAAAAACCCCATGCCAAAAATAGATGCTCCCCCCCCCATCACCCAAACAAGCCATCTCCCTTTTATTGAAAACCAGAATAAAAGAGAGTAAACACCCTATTGAGGAGCAGTAGTAATAGATGTTGTAAAAAGTTTTTTTCTTTGAAGGAGGGAATTTTGGTTTTTTGCATCAGCTGTGTAATAGGTGAATGGTTGTGGGACCATACAATGCAACCTGTCCACGTAGCTCCAAATGAAGTATGGGTTATCGTAGTGGTTCAACTGCCTTTTGTCGTGGTAGTGGGGAGACTTCAAAGGGAAAAGTCAGGCTTTGTCCGGTGCCCATGCTATGCATTTCTCTTTGTTCTCTGCTGTGTATATTTTTGCAGCTTTCTACTTACTTTTTAGGAAAAAAAATAAAATCAGGGAGAGGCAAAATTTGACTATATTTTAAAAAAATCTCTGCAAGCCTGTGGTTTTCTCTGTCCTCCCAGGACTTGTCTGTCTGTGAGCTTCCTGTGCTATTTGACAGTAAAAAATTACGTATTTTTTTCAAATAGCTTTGGAATGGAGCTGCTCTCTGAATCTGAACATCGTAATGAGCATTGATCCTTGTCTCGCAGTGTTTGGGGTTGTGAAATCGAGGAAGCATGATCTCTGCTTGATTTACCTCAAAGGAAAATACAGAACAACTCCTCACACAGACCAGACTTTGTCATCATATTTGTGATTCTCATCTTATGTGTGTTCAATCAAATCTCCCCTCTTAAAAGAAAGCTGGATTGTACCTTGTATGCACTGTGTAGGAATGTGTATATAAAACTGAAATTATGTAGATATTTCTGTTCTGCAATGTGCTCCTAAGGCTTCTGAAAGGGAATAAAATGTAAATGAAGTGAACAGAGGGAAAAACAAATTGACCATTTTTTTTGCTGGCATATATTATGTAAATTCAGTGGTACAGGTCTTTCAGCATGTGCCAGTGCTAATAGCTTGGATGCTCAGCTGTTCCAGGCTGTATAAAACATTTCTTGTTACACCTAAAGCATAGCAATTGTTTTTTCTCATAATGAAAGTGTTTTAATGTAAATATTTTTGTAATGCAGAAAATAAGTGTTTGTCATATTTTTAATGGATTTTTTAAAAAATAAAATTATGAATTTTTATGTGTAGAACCCTGTTTTCTGGATAGCCTGATTTATGTAACAGCGATTTAAGAGATGTAAAACAAATATTTCTGAAGACCAGTGTTAACACTGCTACTAATCCTGATATTGCTAGTTTCTGATTCTTCCTAGAGCTCATAAGATGTATTCACAGAGATGAGTTTTGTCTAGTGCAGTTAATCTCCTTTGGCTACCCATCTAATTCCTTAGCGAAGGGAAGTGTCTTCAGTTTCACTGACAGAAGAAGCAACCTAGGGAGAGATTTCTAGATTGAAACAAGATTTTTGGGAGCAGCTCTGCAGTTGAAGATATGATTCGGTAACATTCCTCTTCTTTAGAGCACTTGACAAATTAATTGTCTTCTCACCCTAATAAAATGGTGGTAATGCATTTAAAAATATCTTCCAACTGCAAACCAAATGACAGCTCCTCTGTACTTTTGTAAATGTAAGGAACTGCCTTTGAAAAATATTCTTCTATTTTGAAATATTTCGATCTTCAGTTTGTGTTTATGAAATGGAGGAAAGAAAGAATGCTTGGTTGCTTTTGTGTAGGTTCAGAAGCTAAAACTTGAGGTTAATGTTTTTTAAAATTAAAAATCAAACTAGTATTTTAAGAAGATTATTGTTTTGAAGGAAGGTAATAGCTGAGGTGGTTTAATTGGGAGATATGTTTCATGATTTCATTATTAAAAATCATGATCAGGATGTCAAAGCATTACTTTGAAAATGAGTACCTTGAATAATCTAGGAATAAATTTTGTTCTCAAGTGGAAATCTCTTTTCTCGAGTAAAGAAACTTTATTAGACTTGCATAATTTTGTCAGAGTAGATGAGACATGTTTATACAGCTTTAATGTAGGCCCTTCTGTGTGTCTTTCTGAAAACTTTCTTCCATTAACTGCATCCTGGGCTTTTGTGTTTTCAACAAAACCAAAGTTCTGGTGGTATCCTTTTCAAACTGACATCTTTTAAAGGGGATTGAGCCCCCAGATCTCCAAAGCCTGCAAGCAATTATATTATCTGTTTGTATGGTTATGGTATAAATGCTTTTCTATTTTTTTTTTGTTTTTAAAAACTGAGGAGATTTTCAAGACTTTGTTAAAAAAATCAAATTATTATTATTAAGACAAGAAAAAGCTTGCAGGGATAAGTAATATATTCTGTTAGACTTCCAGAGATAGAGGGAAAGCAAAAAAGCTTTTTGGCTCACAAATATTCTGTCAGAAGTTTACCTTTTTCCTGAGTTATGTTAGTTTGCTTAATAGAATATTTTTCTTTACAAATATTGCCTCCTTAGATGATTACAACAGTGGTTGTATTAGATGCAGGCATGACAAGCTAAGTTTTATTTACTTTTATCTTAGCCCAAGTCCCTGTTTTTTGACTGGTTTGTTTTATAATTTAAACACTTCTGTTGGGCAGTTGTCTTTGGAAGGAAGGAAGGGGGAAGAGCAGAAGGGGCTCTGAACACCGAAGGACCTTCTGAATTATTTTGTGTTGCTTCTGCATGTAAAAAGTGCATAGGGACTCTTAATATCTTACAGTAGATGAGATTTGTAATGTATTGAGGACTGCATTTCTGTGTGTGAGTTTGCATGAGCACTATATATCTTTGCTATTGTATGTCTTGTTTTCTGCATTGCAGGCTGAATATGTCCAGCTTGTCACAGAGCTTAGAATGACAAGAGCCATTCAGCCTCAGATAAATGCCTTTTTACAAGGCTTCCATATGTTCATTCCACCATCTTTGATCCAACTTTTTGATGAATATGAACTGGTAAGCAGAAATGCCTATGCTTTTTAAAAATAATTTGTTCAGCATACTTCATCCGTAGTGTAACAATGTAGAAGTAAAACTCAGCATCTAAAAAATAAGCATTTAGTGTGTTGCACTTTGGTTTTGCTTCCTGTGAGGATCTCAATATGTGTATTCCTGCTTATCCTAATTACATAGAATGACTGTCTTCCTGGAATGTGATAACTTCATGTGCCAGTGATAAATGCCTTAAATTGTAATTTCAAAGTGAAATCAGGATGTTGTGGCCTTTAGATGTTTTAATATTTTGTTTCAGGAGGACAGAAGTTATTTAAAAGTAAGGAGATGCTGTCTGTTGTCTTTACTTTTTCTGAGTCACAGAATCAAATTCCAATAAGTTCTTGTGGTGGTTTGATCTTCTGTAACCAAGACATCTCAAGATTTTTCTCAAACCAAAGCTCAGAGCTTTTTTCTTTTAGGTTCTTTGTCAGTGTTTTCTAACTCTTGATACTGTGTGCTTAAATTAAACAGATTGTGTGAAGTTACCTCAATTCAAGAATCTGTTATTCAGATTTAGTTGTAGGCTCCGTAAGGTAGCAGCTAAACAGAGAAAGCACTGTAATTTTTATACTTCTTAAAGCGTTAATTTTTAAAATAGCATAAGCACTTAAAATTAATTGTTAGTCAGGAGGACTAATCACAATCTGTATGCTTCTTCTGAAGGAGCTTTTGTTGTCTGGTATGCCAGAAATTGATGTGAATGATTGGTTAAAAAATACAGAATACACCAGTGGCTATGAGAGAGGAGACCAAGTTATTCAGGTAAAATTATTTTTTTAAATAATGCAGACCATTGCATTTTAATGCAAAAAAGGTGCTTTTGTTGTTGCATTTTCTCTGTGTGTTTATGGAAGCTTATTTTGGCTGAAATTTCTAGAGGATTTTTACAGTATATTCTTATATTAAGTGACTTAGTTATGCATTAATTGCAGATGAAAATTTCCATAATTTAAGTAACAAACATAAATATTCAATTTATTGTTTTACCATTATCTTTTCAAGTACTGCAAGTATCTAATAGAAAATATAAACTAACTTTTATTTCATTTAGTGGTTCTGGGATGTTGTGGAAGAACTAACTCAGGAAGAGAGAGTATTACTATTACAGTTTGTTACTGGCAGGTGAGAAACTCTTATGTAACAACAAATATATTGTTTGAATGCTCTGAAATAATTCAAGAGACTTCATATTATGATACAAGAGCACCTAACTAGAAACTGTTTTGCATACTTTGGTGTTCCACATGTTGATTAAAGTAGACAAAGTGTGTGTTAATATTTTTGCTGCCTGTTCTGCCAGTAAAATGATTGATTACTTATTTATTATACTTGACTAGTTTGCAAGAGGCCTTTGAATAGTTAAGTTGCTGTCTCAGGCAATTTTTAACAAGGCAGTAGTGAATTTAACGGCACTTTATATTCTTCTTCCTGTTGCATATTTATGTAGCTCTTGGCTTCTCCAGTAATCAATGTAGGCTTTAATATATGAGATAACTAGGTATCACTTCAGTCAGTGTAAACAGGACATCCTTCTCCTAAAGCTGAGCTGAATTTAACATAAGAGCAGTGTGTCAAGACCAAGTGAAAATGTAACCTTATGCGAGACTGTGGATTTCTGCCCTAAATTCTAGTTGTTCATCAGGGAAAGTTACTTTTATCTACTTTATGGTTTGAGGGCAGAGGGGGAGGGTTTTGAGCAATAAATGCCCCTGTGAGCTGGGTGAGTTGCCAAGCTGGTGTATACAGTCATTGTGCAAAGTGGATCCATCAATATACACGTGGCACCTGAGCTGTATAATCCTGGTTTTTTTCTCGTGGCAGGTAGAGATTGCACCATCTTCTTAATTTGATATTTTCTTCATATTCTAGGATTAGTAGAGTAGTTGGCCTTTTGTTTGTAAGTTTTGTGGTTAAGCAGTGGCAAAATACAAATTAAGATCATCAAACCTTGTCTTTTATACCAAGGAATTTCACAGTCATGGATGTATCATCAAATGGCACGGTCTTCAACTTCTATTGCTTTCACTTGATTTATTATGAATTTTGTTGTTTTAAGGGATCATGGACAATTTAAGAAGCTAGTCCTGTGCATATTGATCTTGTCTTTTGGTCCTCTGCAGAAATCATTACGCCAGTTCTAGCTACACATCTGTTGCATGCCAACTGCTGGTTTTTCTTTTTTAGTGGACTAGTCCATTTCAAATCTAGATGGAAAATAAGGATCTTTAAGGTGTAAAGTCATGTTTCAAAAGCTTCTTAGAACATGCCAAATGATACTGAAGGGGCATTCACTATTTTCATGGCATTTGGGATAATCTACTGGATTCTAAGGGATGCTTTCTATCAAGTAAACAATTATGTTGCCTGATTAATATGTGCTTGACCACCATTCATTTTGCTCACAAATCATCTACTGACTTGTTCTTTCCCATTCCTTGTCAGTAGTAAAGAACTTTCTGGTATGTCCTTTAAGAACTCTGGGCTAGAATTTAAAACCAAATTGCTTAGGTTTTTTTCTGTATCAGCTAGTAGGAACCCCTTGTGTTTTTTCTTCAGTGATTGAAATGTAATAGGTGTATTTTTCCATAAAAATTTAGCTTTTGAAAGTTACCTCTATTAGTGGTATGCAGCTGGCATTTTTGGACATAAATCCTCAGACAGTCCTAGTTTCTGGGCATGGAAGATTTAGATGCTGAGTTGTCTGTGAGCTAAAGCACCAGTTAGTCTAGTACACGTCAGCATCTGAAGTAAAATTTTACACTAAAAGTATACCTGATTTCAAACTGTTATATTTTTCTGGCATCATGTTTCCATAGTGAATAATATGTTTCTGTATGTACTGGTTGGCAGGCTGCATTCAAATATTTAATAGTTTTTTCCATTTCCCTTTAATCTCTTCTGCATATTCACTTACTGATGTTTTTTTGTTGTGTGTGTGAAGTAGTACTATTCTTTCTTTCCAATCAAAAACTTACGAAATTAATTAAGCGAATTAAATGAAACAATTACATTTATGATTGTCTTCAGTGTTTCTTTGGTGTCTCTAAATATTTCTTAAACTTTGCCTTGTGTCTTCCTCCCCATTCTTACACCTTCTTCTCTTCAATGTAATGAAGTCTTGCTTTGGTAGTTTCCATGGAAGTACCATTGCATTTGTCATTAATACCGATTTAGAGACAACTTTTAACGTGAAGTAGTTGTCATGAGCAGTGTTTGAATAGCAGATTTTGTGTGTTTGGAGGTCTTAGCACAGTTAAGACAAAGCCAAAACATTCTTGAACCTCATGTTGAGGATCTGAAAGTTTACTTATGCACCACCTACTTTTTCTCTGCTGACAGCTGCTTGGGATGGTAATGCCAATTCCACATGCTTTTACTTTTTTTTGTTTCCTCCTCTTGGTCTCTTTGGTATTTATGACAGTATTTGGCTAATTTATTGTTAAAAATCCATTGGCAACTTTTGATCAGGTTTTTAGTTAACAGTTGGAAGGAAGTGTTGACAGCTTATCATGATAAATTCTACTTTACTGGTATTCTGCAGGTACCAGGATTGCAGTTTATCTTCTTAGGGGACTGTAGTTTCTGTTGAGTAATAAGCTATATGCTGTAAAACCCATTATACTGTTTTAAGGAAAATTCAGCATATTTGATAAATATGATAGATGTGTATGACTACTTTTAAAAGGAAAACAAAATAAGGAAACTGGCTTAAAGTATCTCATCTAAAGAGTTCTCATTTCAAGTAAATTTATGCAAAATCTGAGAGTGGAAAAATAGATAGAAAAATTAGGATTGAGGAGAACAAACATTTTCGTAGTGTTGGAAGTTTCCAAAGCTATGAAATTGTGTTGTTGCTCTTGCTGAAAGCTATTTTATTTGCACAGGCAGTAGGAGAAGTAAAATATTGTGATCTTATTTATTTGCACGTGTTTGGAAAGCTTTCTTTACTATATTGGCAGTGTTTTGCTTGTAAGGAAAACATTCTTGGAGGCGTAAGTGGGTAGCTGTCTGTTACTTTTAAACGTTCAAAGCCCTGATCATACTATATGATTTTGACCTATTGTATGAAAAACATTTTAATATGTTAGATTGTAAAAACCTTTAGATAATAGTGGACTGAGAAATTTTTGATAGTTAAGTCTGTGTTTTGTAGCTTATTTGAATGTGGGATTCTCTTAGTTCATTGGACGGGGAAAAAAAAAAGTCACTGCAGGGGAGGCAGCACTGTATTAGAAATGCGTGCCAAAACCATGGTATAAAAGAGTACCACTGTAAAATCTTTACAACTGTTTTGAACTGTGGCTGTGAGCACAATTCCATTTGTATGTCAGAATTAGTATGCTGCAAATAATCAGTACTTCCCTCCACAGTGATTGCCTTATATACCAGTGCTAGAACTGTATGACCAACGTTGCTGTCATTAAGCTAGGTGATACAGATTTATGTGTTGAATACTGTACCTAGCTCTTAAAGGTATGTTTAAAAAGTGTTACTACAAGCTCTGTCCTAGCTATAGCAGTGCTTACTCTTTTGCATTTTTGCCAAGTAGTTTTACTGTGAATGGAAACATTTCTTCGTTTTTCTTTTCCATTCTTGCTCCTGGTTTTTACAGTCACTTTGATTTTGTGAATATGGGAGCGTTGTTTTTAATGTGAGTACCTGTAATCCAAAATTCTGGCAGCTGTTATATATTCTATGGAAGGTTTATTTTATTTTATCAGATTCTTTCTTTGCTAGCTACAAAACTGTAGAATAGGTGAGTCTGGAAGGGACCTCTGGAGATGGTCTGTTCCAACCCCATGCTCAGAGCAAGGTCAGCTAAACCTGGATGCTCAAGGTCTTGCCCAGACAGGTTTTGACTGTCTCCAGTGGTGCTGACTCCTCAGATTCTCTGGACAACTTGTTCCAGTGTTTGATCACCTCACAGTAAAAAAAGTTTTTTCTCATGTTTAAATGGAAATTTCCTGAATTTCAATTTGTGCTCATTGCCTCCTGTCCTGTCATTGGGCACCACTGGGTGCTCAGTCTTGAGACTTGTGCTTCATCTTATGTGTTCCTTCCTCCAGGTGTTTGTATACATTGATCAGATTGCCCTGAGCCTTCTCTTCTCTAGGTTGAACAGTCCCAGCTTGCTCTCTTCCTGTGTCAGGTGCTCCAGTCCCTTACCATCTTTGTGGCCCTTTGCTCAACTTGCTGCAGTGTGTCCTTGTCCCTCCTATAGTGAGGAGCTTGGAGCTGTACTCTAGATGTTTCTAACCGAGTGCAGGGAAAGGATCACCTCCCTTGACCTGCTGGTGACATTCTTCCTGAGGCAACCCAAGAGGCTGCTGGCCTTCTTTGATGCAAGGATGCATTGCTGGCTCGTATTCAACTTATTTAGTCCTTATCCTTTCATTATAGTTTCTTTGGTGCTGGTTTTTTTTTTGTTTGTTTGTTTTTAATATGAGGGCTGTGTGAACATGTTACCTTGTAATGCATACCAGCTTAAGTTGATGTTATAAAAATATTCGAATTTTATTCTATTTGTCTCCCTTAGTTTAAAATTATAGGGAGGGACTCTGAAGGCTTGAGGGCTGTTGTCCCTGTTGTCCATTTACACTTTGAGTAATCTTTGAATAATATATTGGTAAAAGGAAAAACATTATGAGTAATATGATAATGCATTCCTGAAGATGCTAGTGATTTTTTTTTTTTAGTGTGTTCTGGTTTTGCCATAGGTTGTCACTAGGTGACTGATATAATGGTTTTGTTAGTCACTTGAAATATTTGGTCTGAAGTAGTAAATGAAAAAACATATCAAGGACACTTTGGTCAGTTGTCGCACAGATAGCAGTTGGAGAATAAACTTCTTTATGATGCAGTATTTCTTAAACTGTAAATATAAGTAACAAAGATGTTTGCCTAAACTGAGATAACATTGTTATAAAAACTAGTTGTAGAAATGAGTCCTTTTTGCAAAGAGAATTATCTTAAATATCATTCAAACTATTTGATGCCTAATGTGAAAGGACAAATGTGTTATTCAATATTGTAATTAAAAGCATTTAGACAATGAGAATTTTGATATGGTAAGAAAGGGGGGAAGCCTTGATAAAAGTATTAGTAACTGTCTAATTACTAGCAATAAGAGATATTTGCAGCATAAAGATTTTTTTTTTGGCTTATAACATTCTTGTAATGGTCTAATTTCTGTGAATTTTCTCAGTTCCAGGGTGCCTCATGGTGGCTTTGCCCATATAATGGGTGGCAGTGGATTGCAAAATTTTACAATTGCTGCTGTGCCATATACTGCGAATCTCTTACCAACATCAAGCACGTGGTATGTTAACTAGTCTCATTGAAATATCTTTAAAATGGGGCTTTTTCATGTCAGTCACAATCAAAGGTACAGTTCTTTTGAATATTTTCATTAAAAGACAGGGAAAAAAATTTTGTACAGTTTGTGGAGTATTACTATACAACATAAAAGTGGTGGGTTTTAACCCAAATAATCTTATGTTTGCTCATTGTTTACTACTTCATTTTGCTTAACTAAAGGCAATGGGATTAATAAGGGATTATTCAAGTTAAATTATTGTATTACAATTTACTGAAGTGAAAAAACTCTTAATTTCCTGCAGTATATTCAAATGTTCAATGGTACTGTAATGCAGTAGAGGTTTATTTTGTTCCATAAATGTGACACGTTCAGGGTTTTCAATGAGAAATCTTTACTGTTGGGTTTCTTGCCGAACTGTGATGTGGCTCTTTTTTTCTCCATTTCTTTTCAGTATCAACATGCTCAAATTACCTGAATACCCAAGTAAAGAAATCCTTAAGGACAGGCTTCTTGTGGCATTGCACTGTGGAAGCTATGGTTACACAATGGCATAATGAAGTCTAGGAAACTCATCTGACTCCTGATGTGGAGTTCCAAGTGGCAGAAGTAATTTTCTAAACTGTCAATAGAAAAGCAGCTTAGATGCTGCAGCCCATTGGTAGGGCTGAGCTTCAGAATTCGTACAGGATCATCAGCTTTTCCTCCATTATTTGTGGTCAAAGTAACTTTGATACCATCATGACAAACTTCTCAGTATGCTGTATTTTCATTTTTAAAAATGACAGATCTGTATGGAAATTGGTTTACATGCTTTTCATTATTACTTCAGTCTGAATCAGGAAATTTGTCAGAATATCTTTCCACAGTTTACTTTTGATTTCAACTGTACGGTTGAATGACACTTGCATTTTAGTTTACTTTGCACTCAGATGGCATACTGCTTGCTAATGGACAGACTTGTCCTTTATGCCTTGTTGCATGTGAAAGTGCTGTTTATTTTTGCAGAGAACACTATAGAAAGTTCAATTGGAATATTGTACAGTAAGACAGAGCTGATGTATTTTCCATTTCTTTGCATAATAACAGAAATAAAATTTTGTAACTTTTTGGTATTTTAATGTATATAGTATGTAAAGATTAGACTGTTATCGCTGGAAAAAATAACAGATGAAGTTAATATCTAATTTATATTAGAATTTACACTATATTCTACTAATTATTTAAAGTATTTGTGACTTTATAGTCAACTTACAGTTTGGAATTTGTAAATATTATTTAATATCTATATCCATTGTTTGAATGCCTTTATTCTTTCCTTGACATAATTGTATGTTCGAAAGGTATTATTAAAATTTAGTATTTTTACCAGAACCTGAATGTGACAAGTTTTGTGGGTGGTTTAATTTTTTTTACCTCAGGATTTTATTCATCTTACTATAAATTAAGTTGTCATGGAAGCAGCATTTGAGAAGGCATTGGTAAAATGTATGGATGGAGATAAGCAAACGCATGAGGAGGGAACTTGAGCTTATTGAGGTTAACTGACAAGACTAAAATAATTAGAAATCTTGTATCAAAATTTATATAAAATTAGAATATGTTACTCAAATAATATGTAAAAATACAAGACAGTGGCTCGGCGGCAAGTGTTTTTGATAAGTAGCTGCACACATTGGGGTAGATGATGCATTTGAATAACTGCTTTCTTAGGGACCCTGGGTAGGTTAATGTTATTGTTTTGGTTCAGGCTAGGAGTGGTTTTTTTGTTTGTGTTTTTTTGGTGTGGTGGTGTTTTTTTTTTTTTTTTTTACCCTGGTCATCCTTGCTTTCATGCTTTTGCTTTGGAGAGTGCAAACTGGATTCTCTCCAGGTGGAACTAAGCAGAAAAACATGATCCAAAAATGTACCAAATGGTGATGGATGAACATCTAATTATGTCTGTGAGACACAAATGATCTGAACAGGTTATCCGAAGAGTTAGTGAATGAGTTCAGGCACAGTGAACCCCACAAACACCTACATTTTAGGGTTCAGGTCCTCAGCACAAACTACTCACTGCTGATCCATTAATGTTTTCCTCCACTAAGTGCTAATACATGTGTAGCCTGAGTTCACCAGCTGATTTCTCTAGGCTACTTGTTGCTGTTTTATCAGTTTTTATTTATTTATTTTAATCTAAAGCATACTTAACCTCTCTGGGTGTGAGAGAGAAATCTGTGGACCATCTGATTCAGTGGTGCCACAGTAATTTTCCTTTGAGCTAAGCTTTGTACGTAGAGTTCCTTGCTTTATTTCGTTTCTGGTTCTGTTTGTGCACATGTATGCATAAATGTTGGTTTAAATTCTTATGCAGTGTTTATGACTGCAACTTAAGGAGAATACCGGGTTTGGTTAGCAGAAAGAGCACCCTCCTTCCCGCAGGGCAATCCGGTGAAAGTAGCTTCAGTCAGTGGAGAGATGCTGTTCCTCTCTAGCACGCTCTAGGCAGCTTAGACTATTTAGATAGGCTAGATGTTTGAAGCTGTGTGGGGTTTTAGCGTTAAATCCCAGTTATCTTGGATGCTTCAGTTAGCAAAAGTACTTTACTTTTCTGCACAGTTTGGCAGTGCTTGGTTCCCTGACTATAGAGCTTATTTCTTTATCTGCCTCTGCAAGGTAGATTGATAGCAGGACAGTGTTTTGAGCAATACAAGGTATTTGTCAGGAATTATATATTTGTTTTCTTTATGTAAATAGGATTTTTTGTCTTTATCCGAGGGTTTTACTGTAAGTACAGTTGTTCATTAATTACTATGCAATCTGTGATATTTTTTGTTTTTTTTTTTTTTCATTTCACATGTTCCACAGTAATATAGAGCAGTTTGCAGGAAGCTAAAACCTTGTGTACTCATGCGTGGTGTCCAAAACACGTCATACGGTAAGGCTGAATGAAGGGAAAAAAAAAAAAAATTTGTGTGTTTATACTTCTGTATTATGCTGTTGGTGACATAAATATCAACAAGCTGAATTTCGTCTCGAACAGTATTCCTAAAATGCTCAGCAACTTGTTTTGAAGTATAATGGAGTACAGTTTTAATGTTCTCAACAGCTTCCTAGGACAGATCTCCCTGTTACAACCTCACAAATGGTAAAGCAGATTACTCCTTCCTCTCCCATGTCCTATATGAAGTATCTTGTAGTATTTCTTGCAGTATTTGTACTAAATACCTTCACAATAGGTCAGAATAAAATTATTTTTAAATACTCCTGTAATAAAAAAGCATGATGAAAATATGTAAAAAATTGGAATAGAGCTCTTGATACTGGACTCTTGCTATAAAAGCAACCTTGTTGCTTGTTTTGAACAGTTGTGTTTTCCTAAAAGAAACACTCAACAGTGCTGCCTGCTGCAGTTGACCATGTGAACTGAGCAGGATTTAATTATTGCATTGAAAGACTGTTTTTAGGACACCTGTGCCCTATTAAGCAACACAGTATGACAAGCCTGCTGAGAAACTATAACTTAATATAGCTTATAGTTCAGCATGATTAATTGTTTTATATTTGTTCTCTCCCACTGTGCCAGAACAAGACTGGGTGAGTGTTTTATCTCGGAAAGAACAGAACAGATGTCTTGTCAGATCATAGATCATGAGCGCTCATTAACTTTTATTATCTTTATGAAATGTTAGATAGCAAAACCTAGTTTTTGATGCTTGAAAATGTGTTACGCATCTAATGTTGCAAAACCATTAAAACCATAAACTGTGAAATGTAGCTTAATGACTTCTACTGTATGTTCCATAGTCAATAAGACAGAAAATGGAATGAGAAGGGAGAAGGTGGTTGGCCTGAATTTTCCAGAGACTTGGGAGACTTTCACATGTACAGTAGTAAAAATATTAGGACCACCTCTGCTTTGGAAATGTGTGAACTCTTTACTTAGGAGTATTAACTCAAAATTGTAGTTTTAGTTTATTTGGACTGTTCTTGAAGTCTAATGATGTGATTCAGCTCTGCAAGTACAGCTCAGTAGTGCCTCAGGAAAGCACATTTATGAAGAAGGAAGACAGGTAGCGAGTTAAGGAATGCCTTATCTTAATAGCTTGTTCGTGTTGTAACACCACTGCAGTCTCCAGAGTGGAGACAATCTTTACCTTAAATGGCTTATAATCTGTAAAAATAAGGATATTTTCCTGTGTTTCTTTTTTTTCCCTTTCCAAGTTGCCATTTTGCTTTTGTATTTTAGCTTTTGGGGAGTGGTTTTCATCTGGGGGGAAAAGGCCAAAGAGAAGCAGTGCTTCCTGGCCTAGTGATGGGGGAAGCAGAGGAGAAAGGCGAGATCAAATACAGTAATGCTAGTAGTTTAAGAAAGAAGTCTATAAGGTCAGATGTCTGCCTGATGCTGGCAGGCCAGAGAGGAAAGCAGGACTTCTTTAAGGTTTGTTTTTTCTCTTTTTTCCCCCATGTTACGTACTTCTCTTCTTATGCACGTTAAACAGAAGTTCATGATTGAGGTCAGCCTCAAGTCTTTTGATTAATCAACAGAGATGTGAGGAGGAAAAGCAGACAGAATAGCTTATAGAAGAAATTTGAGATGGTGTCAGGATATAATGCACAGGAGCAGCTGTTTGCCTGGGAACCTTTACACTAGTCAGTCCCTACTTCTGATGCAAGATGATTTTCTAGGAGCTGCTCTTTCTACAGAAAGGCATTCTGGAGTGGGTACTTTGGGAAGCCAAATAGCTGCAGTATTTAATTGAACATATCGCTTTATCAACTGCCATTCTGGTATCCTCTACTCCAGGTAGTAAGTAAGCAGTTCCCTTTGCAGAAATCAGGAAACAAAGATGGTACTGGCCCTGTGGGAATTTTTCTAGCATGTTAGAAAGAATACTTGATGAAAACCAGCTGATTAATTAGCAGGCTGATAAATGTGAATGGTGGTACGAGGAAACAGATGACCCTGTCTTAATTCTTAACAGGCAGACATAGTGATCTGTGTTTAGCACCTCTTATCTCCACCACAATCTTTTGGAATGGCATGCAGATGTTGAAGAGTGGAGAACAGGAAGGTGTTTTCACAAGACAGCTTTTCAGATTTTTAAGGCTAGTTTCTTTTTCTTTGTAGTTTCCTTGCTATATTATATATCATATATAACAAATATTTAAGTAAATATAAAGCAATGACATGAATATATACATTACATAAACCCAAATAAATTTAATTATTTATTTAAAATAGATGTACAATATTATTAGTACTACTGTACTAAAATGCTACATACTGGAGTGTTTTAGGCTGTGGTGATTGTTTTCCTCTATTAGTGTTACTGACTGGATGATTTTTGTATAGATTATATAAAGTAGGCTTCCAATTTTAGCCTTGTAGTTGGGGGTTTTGTATGTATATCTGTTTTCCTTACCTTCATTTTGAAATAGTGTGTGGGTTTTCAGTTAGGCTGTTGAAATTATGGGCAAATCCGTGGTTTGTATATGCAGCTGTTACTAAGAATTTTTAGCGTGTCCATAGAAGAGTATTTTTCCAGTTAAGAAGTATAATTGGCCAACTGCTAAAGCGATGCTAAGAACCAAAGCTTTAAATCAACTAGATTAAACTTCCTTGGGGATTCTTCAGTTGTAAAGATAAGTGCTTTCCAAGTCAGAACATCTGTTTATACCCAGACTTACCATAGATAATCATACAGCTGATAGAGTAGAGACTGTGATATATATTTGTCATGGATGAAATATCTCACATGGTTATGATTTAGCAGCAATTTAAGATTTATTAATGGTATGAGGAGATCAAAGTTTAAATTATAGCGGCAGCACTTAGTAACCAATTTAAAGATTAACAAGGTGATCCAGCAGAATATGTTGTGATTGAAATAGTGACTTAATTACAGATCTGAGCATGACAGGATTCACACTAACTTACTACTAAGCCAATATATATATTATGAATATATGTATAAACACAAATCACACAGAAATATTTAGATCCAGTGAAATTGCCTATAGATAGAGAGGTGGACAGAGGAGACTAGCCTATAGGTAAACATTCCCTGTTATTTCTCAAGTTTAGAGTAAGTACTCACAATGCATTGGCATGCCTCAGCTGGTGATAATTGAGCCTTGAGAAGTCAAACTTTGCTCCAGCCTTTCAGCAACTTTGCCAGCAGATGGTCATTAAACCTCTTTGCTTTAAGGAGGCTGTGCCTGAGAAGCATTCCAGATCAGGGGAGGTGCTGGTCACAGCCTGCTGCGATCCAGGAGAGCTCAATGGGACTTGCTTAGTATGGCTATTAATAGGATATGAGATAATTGACTTTCATCAGGTACTTTTCCATTTTAGCCCGACTTGGATGATGAAATATTCTGGTGTGTTC